GGAAGAGTTGACTCATTGGAAAAGACCCTGATGCTGGGAGGGATTGGGAGCAGGAGAAGGGGATGACAGAGGATGAGAAGGTTGGATGGCACCACTGACTCGGTGGGCATGAGTCTGAGTAATCTCCGGGAGTTGGTGATGGACAGGGAGGCCTGGTGTGCTGCGATTCATGGGGTCGCAAAGAGTCGGACACGACTGAGCAACTGAACCGAACTGAACTGAATTTTTCCCCAAGTTGTTCCTCCTAGAGTCTTCCTCATCTCACTGAATGGCAAACCACTGGGTCACTTGCCAAGGCTAAAAACCTAGAAGCTATCCTTGGACTCTCAAATACCACATATAAATAAACTCTATAGCCTCTATTTAAAAATATATTTAAAACCCTACCATTTCTCAACACCCCCACTGCTATTCTAGTCCTAGTCACCATCATCGAGTTTCTGTATAATTGCCTTGGCCTCCTAATTGACCCTTCTGCTTAACTCTTTACAGCATTTCCATTCAATTTCTATTCTGTACAGCCAGAGTGATTCTTTTAAAATGTAAGTGAAATCATGTCACTCCTCTACTCAGTGATCTCCCGTGGCATCCCATTTCACTCAGAGTAAAAGCCATAAAACATGGCAAAACCCTATGATCTGGCTCCTGCAATCTCTCTGACCCTATCTCTTATTTTTGCTCACTGTGCTCTTTCTAGAGCACACGGCCTCCTTGCTGTTCCTAAACAAGTCATGGGCCACATCTACATCAGGGCCTCTGTAACTGTGGCTCCCTCTGCCTGTGACACTCTTTCCCCATGTTGCAGTTACTCAGTAGCTTAAAACAACAGATTAATTCTCCAAGACTCTCAGTTAACTAGATGGTTCTTCTGTTGGTCTCACCTGGGCTCACTCATGTGCCTGCAATCAGTGGGCAGCCTGGCTGGTACCAGATGACCTAAATGACCTCTATCATACGCTTCAGGCCTTGGGGCTGGCTGCTGGTTGGCCCATTCTCTCTTTAAGTGCGTGCATGCTCAGTTGCTCAGTCATGCCTGACTCTTTGCAACCCCATGAACTGTAGCCCGCTAGGTTCCTCTCTTCATGGGACTTCCAAGGCAAGAATACTGGAGGAGGTTGTAATTTCCTACTCCAGGATATCTTCCTGACCCAGGGATTGAACCTGCATCTCTTGCATGTCCTGCATTGGCAGGAGGATTCTTTACTACTGAGTCACCTGGGAAGCCCCTCTCTACAGGTGGTCTCCCACAATTTGACATTCTAGCCCAGTCCTTACCCAGTACAAGGAGCATTCCAGTGGGCAAAGGTAGAAGCTGCAAGGTTGCTGGAGGCCTAGGATTTGGACTCCTTTGGCACTTAGTCAAAACAACATATAAGACCAACCCAGATTTAAGGGAGTGGGGAAAAAGTCTACCCTTTGATGAACAACTTGCAAAATTTTGTGGATTCAATACATCACACCCCAGATACTTGCATGGCTCAGTCTCTTCATACATGTGCTCAAATGTCACCACATCAGTGAGGCCTTCTATGACTCCATATAAATTAACTACCCTTCCCTCACCTTGGGACTTTCTTTCCCACATTTTATTTTAGCATCTACCATCACCTGACATTACATATTTATTTTATTATTGGTCTCTTTCCCAATACAGTGTAAGATCTGTGAAGGTAGGAAATTTCTCTTTGGTTCAGCATTATGTCCCCAGCACCTTGAACACTGTCGTGTATACACAGCAGGCACTCAAGCAATACCTGACAAATGAATTATCTTATTCAAATGAGCATGTACCATGAAATAATAAAGAATCCAAAGAATCCAAAATGACTCAAAAAGCATAATATAAATTTAGGCGTGTGAAATGTTAGTGGCAGAGGATGAGATGGTTAGATAGCATCACTGACTCAATGGACAAGAATTTGAGCAAACTCCAGGAGACAGTGAAGGACAGGAAGGTCTAGTGTGCTACCCTAGCCCTAACCCTAATACAGTCCACGGGGTTGCAAACAGTCGGACATGACTTAGTGACTGAACAACGTTAGTGGCTTTATATGTTCTTCTTTGATTTATTCTGTGATTTTGAACAAAACATTTTATTATGCTTCAATGTGTCCATCTATAAAGATTTAGACACATGTCCCTTGTTTCTTGGATATAATGAGAATTTTTTACACCAGTACTTTAAACTCTTCATAAAAAGTTTCTGCAGGCCCTAGAATATGCACTGCGTTAACAGCTTATCAGTCTGGCACCAAATGTAGACAATATAAGATTTAACTGCATAGTAATAATAATTTATGTAAGACACCTAAGCGTAATAGTGTCATTCAAGTTTTGCCTAGGCTAATGTCTGCTAAGTTTATCATTCCCTCAGTAGAATATGAAAAAACTACAACAAGTTTTAAAAAAAGCCATCTTGTCAGCTTACATTAAGTAGAATTTAACAGAAAAATTCTAAGTAGAAAACACATAGGAAAAACAAGTTTATCAGATACAGGTGTGTGCAAATACATGGTTTAAAAATGTTCTGGCCCCATTCCTGAACCTACTCAGTATAAACAGAACGAAACAAATGAACGCTCTAGGGAGGGTGTACATAGAGGCGGCACCAGTGCTGAAATTGCTGTCACTGCCCCGTTAAATCACAGGCGCTGTCACCAGTCTAAATCAGCTGGGCCTCCCATGTGGGAAGGAGCTGGGTTACTCACCCGGTAACAGTTCTCACTGTCTGCTATGCTGGAATGATAGAACCAGAGACAATAATGTACATGAGTCAGCAAGCTACTGGCAGAATACTCTTCCTCCTCAGAAAGACTGGGGGTGTAAGGGTCAGGGATAAGGAGACCTCCTTTTTATTGTGTACACGCTTGGGCTCATTTCTGAAATACATGCATACAGGACCTCTAAACAAAAACAGTAAAAATAAAAATACAATAAAAAGAGGAATTAACTCCCTCTATGGTTCTGACATATTAAATAAACCTGAAAGTTTTCATAAAATATATTTTATATGGGCTATACCAAAATCAGATAATAAGCACTCTAGGTATAGTAATATATATTCATGTATCTGTATTTTATGGCCTTTGTAGAAACCACTGCCTCTTTGTCAAACTGAGAAGACAGGAAGCATAGCATCTAAATTCAGAAGACAGTCTGATCCAGTAATACGCTATTTCAGACAGAAGAAAGCTCAAAATAAAGAACACAAAAGACTCGCTTACTTAAACCATTTTTTTCAAAGCAGGTAAATAAATGTTTTGTTATTTTAAAGGTACTTAAAAATCCTCAAGATTCAATTTACTTATAATACATGGACTTAGAGAGCGTTGAAGCAGTTATTCACATATACTTTATACATATGAGCTGCTGATCAACTATTACCATTGTTCCTCATATACTTTCTTCTTAGAGCTCTTGCACGTACCTAGGTTAAATTCTGACTAAGCAGCTATAGTAGTAAGAAAACTTAGTAAAATAAATTTTCACTAGCCACAACTGTTGCGTTAGTCATGTCCTAAACGTTAAAAATTTCTTTCATGCTGATGAAAAAAGGCAAGGTAGTGTTAATTGAATTCCCAGAATTGGGGATATTTCCACTCAGGAAAAGGAACTGTTCTCTTCTGCATTCGAAATAGAAACAATGCTATTATTAAAATTTGATGAATCAAACTGTTGTAAGAAAAAAACAGATATACATTAGGAATTCTAACTGCAGTAAATAGGAAGGGATGAACTAAGCCAGGAAACTCAGCCTGAGCACTTCCATGAGCTACTTTTATGACCTTAGTCAGCTCATTTAATCTCCTTAGGACTAAATTTTTCATGTGGACAAAAGGGGGGAAAATAAGATCAGGAGATCTTTAAGATTCTACCAAGTTAAAAAAATTACAGTTTTGTAGCATGTCAATTGTTATAGTCCTTTGACTCAGAAAGTCTTACAAGAGTTATCCCACAAATGTACTAGCAAATGTGAGCAAAGACATGTATATTTGAACAAGGACATTCACTGACAGCATAACTTGAATTAGCAAAAGGCCTGTGGAAAAACAACTAAGTGTTCAATAGAAAGCTAGTGAAAGAAATGATACGCTCAGAAAATAAAAAATAGAACACAGATCATATGGTAATATAATCCAACAACTCTACTCCCAGTATTTATCTGAAGAAAACAAAGACACTAATTCAAAAAGATGTATGTACCTCAATGTTCACAGCAGCATTATTTACAATAGCCAATATATGGAAGCAACCTAAGTGCCTGCCAACAGATGAATAATGATTTACACACACACACACACACACAGAAATATTATTCAGCCATAAAAAGAAAGAATGAAATCTTGCCATTTGCAACAGCATTACAAATGGCAAGACCTTGAGGACATTTATGCTAAGTGATAATAACTTTGCATGGGGTGTAATCAATAAAAATATTGAATCACTACACTGTATACCTGAAATATAAATTATAAGTCAATAATAATTTTTTTAAAAAGAAACTATAGCATATCTACACAATGGAATACTATGAAGCCATTTAAAAGACTGAGAAAGTAACATGGAATAATATCCAAAATATATGATTATGTGAATAAAGCACGGCATAGAACGATATAACAGCATGTTCTCATCTTGGTTTTAAAAACAGAGGATAGTAACATACACATAAACCACACAAATATATGTATATAAATATACATACATATATGCATTCTTAAGGAATATTTCTAACACATACATAAGAAAGTGGTAGTAGCTGTTGCTTCTGAGAGGGGAACTAGCAGTTTAAAGTAGAAGAAAGATTTAACTTTTCAATGTAAATCATTTTTTTCACAGTCTGATTTCACCCTGTCTGTGTAACATTTTCATTTAGAAAAAAATCCACATATATTTTATTTAAAAATTTTACATTTCCCATACTAAAATTTAAATTACCCCCCAAAATGTGTCTTCTCTGACAAAAGACTTTTCTTTTAAGCGAAGATTTTTTTAATTACCTTGAAAAGCCGGGGAAAAACATCTGCTGGTTGTCCACGAATCACAAATAGACGAGAGTTTAATTTTCGCAGATTGGCATCAAGGTCTTCAAGACATTGAAGCAAAAATCTAGAGAGAGGAAAATATTATATAAATTCTTCAAAATGTATATTTAGAAGATTTAAAGTAATAAAAAGTCATGCTATTCTAAAATTTGAAATGCCATCTCATCACCTTTTTTACCTCTTTATTATCTTCTTATTTCTAGCTGATAAAACCATTCTTATAAGTTTTAAAAATTATGGGACCAAAAAAAAAAAAATGGGACAAGTTTCTCAGTATTTTTAAATGAAGTTTCTAAATTAAATCACTAACTGCCATTAAATAATAGTGACTGTTAGCAAAGTTTAATTTGTAAACATAAAAATCATATAAAGAAATAAAATAATTAAATGAATCGATCTCATTGTTTAAACTTGGTGAAATAAATCCAAGTTAATATAGAAAAGCCACCTTGAAAAACCTAGGACACCTTTGACTGGGAAAAAAAGAACACTTTTAACATCCTATTTAATCACTCTGACCAAGTGAATGAAAATTTGAGCCCTTTATTAGGGGATGTTGTAACCATCTAAGAGAGAGAAGGAGTAAATTCCATTTTCAAATTTCTAATATAAAGAATCTGGTAATAAATAGACGTTAAATTATGTGGCATTAACTCTCCGAGTGTAGAGAATACCAAATTAATTTTTTCATAAAAGATTTCTGAGGAAGGTGGGGCTGTACATTTTTTCCAATGAAATTAGCATCATTAAGTCCTATGCCTAATAGATATCTCGGGAAATTCTGGGGTGGAGGCAGAAGACTGCTTACTTTGCATCTTCCATTGTGAAGAAATGGGGCAGTCCACAAGAGCAAATCCGAAATAGATGTCACCCTGGAAGGTTCAACGTCCTTTGCCTCATGTTAATTTTCTCTAAGATTTCATGTATATTCTGTTCCTCTCGACTCTTGCTTCTTTTATGTTTTTCATTTTAAATATCTATCCATCTCTTCCACAGGCCTTGTGACCTTCCAGAATAATGACTATGCCTTACTTATGAGTAGGAGTGGTTAAAATGAAAAGAAAGGCATATTTCAGAATCACAATGATCAACATGGTAGCCACTAGGCATGTGTAGCCATTTAAACTAGTTAAAATTAAAATTTCAGTTCCTCAATCACACTAGCCATATATCAAGGCCTCTCAATAGCCACATGTGTGGCTACTAGTGACCATATTGGACAGCACACGTGAAGAATGCTTCCATCATTACAGAAATTTCTATTGAACAGCACTATTCTAGAAGATTATTCAGAACAGATCATTTTGTTCTCTTTGCCCATTCCAATCCCATCATTTCACCAAGAAAGTCTTGTTAATTTTCTACAGATGTAGTGATTAAGTGATATCAGTATAACTAATCAAATCTGATATTCTTTTCCCTTAGGAGTCATCATCTCTATGGGCTTAAGGAGTCAGAGTGCTATATTCACAAGGGTGTTAAAGCATCTCATCATTTTACCTTAGGAAGTCTAACAGTTGTCCTTCAAGAAATAGGAAATAAACATTTATATACTCACATTTATATTATGCCAAATCTTCTTTTTGTCTTGGTTTACAGTCACCTCCCTAATACACCACCCTTAATGCTCAAACCACCTGTACACAACTGCACTCATGTCACATGCTAGCCAAGTAACCCTCAAAATTCTCCAAGCCAGGCTTCAACAGTACGCGAACCGTGAACTTCCAGATGTTCAAGCTGGATTTAGAAAAGGCAAAGGAACCAGAGATCAAATTGCCAACATCCACTGGATCATCAAAAAAGTGAGACAGTTCCGAGACAAACATCTACTTCTGTTTTATTGACTACACCAAAGCCTTTGATTGTATGGATCACAATAAATTGTGGTAAATTCTTAGAGAGATGGGAATACCAGACCACCTGACCCGCCTCCTGAGAAATCTGTATGCAGGTCAAGAAGCAACAGTTAGAACTGGACATGGACCAACAGACTGGTTCCAAATAGGAAAAGGAGTACATCAAGGCTGTATATTGTCACCTTGCTTATTTAACTTATATGCAGAGTACATCATGAGAAACACTGGGCTGGATGAAGCACAAGCTGGAATCAAGATTGCTGGGAGAAATATCAATAGCCTCAGATATGCAGATGATACCACCCTTATGGCAGAAAGCAAAGAAGAAATAAAGAGCCTCTTGATGAAAGTGAAAGAGGAGAGTGAAAAAGTTGGCTTAAAGCTCAACATTCAGAAAACTAAGATCATGGCATCTGGTCCTATCACTTCATGGCAAACAGATGGGGAAACAATGGCAACAATGAGAGGCTTTATTTTTGGGGGGCTCCAAAATCACTGCAGATGGTGACTGCAGCCATGAAATTAAAAGATGCTGGCTCCTTGGAAGAAAAGCTATGACCAACCTAGACAGCATATTAAAAAGCAGAGACATTACTTTGCCAACAAAGGTCTGTCTAGTTGAAGCTATGGTTTTTCCAGTAGTCATGAATGGATGTGAAATTTGGACTATAAAGAAAGCTGAGTGCCGAAGAATTGATGCTATCGAACTGTGGTGTTGGAGAAGACTCTTGAGAGTCCCTTGGACTGCAAGGAGGTCCAACCAGTCCATCCTGAAGGAAATCAGTCCTGAATATTCATTGGAAGGACTGATGCTGAAACTACAATACTTTGGCCACCTGATGTGAAGAACTGACTCATTTGAAAAGACCCTGATACTGGGATAGATTGAAGGCAGGAGGAGAAGGGGACATTAGAGAATGAGATGGTTGGATGGCATCACCGACTCAATGGACATGAGTTTGAGTAAGCTCCTGGAGTTGGTGATGGACAGGGAGGCCTGGCGTGCTGCAGTCCATGGGGTCGCAAAGAGTCAGACATGACTGAGCAACTGAACTGAACTGATCCCAACCCACCACTACCAATGCGTAAATCCTTTGGGGAGAATATTGTTGCTGACTATTGTTGTTAAAGCAATATAAATGCATCTAAGTTTTGTAAAATTATCCATAACTATGAATAACATGTTTGGTGTTAAATGTTTACTGGGAAGCAGATAATTTTCTGTATTTGCTTGGCAAAATAATTTTTAGACCCTGAGGTACTCAGATCAAAAATTAATAAGTTGAATGAACTAGCAATTTTAAAGTTTTCTTAAATTCAAACAGTACAAAACTAAAATGTCCTGGAAAGATAATCCATGGAAGAGATAATCCTCAAATCTCTTTTGTAGTGTGAGTTTCAGTATCTTCTCTACCACACCAGACAGTAAGTAGCAGAGTTCTCCACATTCTACATTTTGGGTAGAAAGGTTTTCATGTAGTACAAGTAGGTCAATGACAGATAATAAGATGGGAAAAGGAAAAAAAAAAAGGACCTGATTAATTTATAAAATGAACTAGTAAGCCTCGATTAGTTAATAATTAGCCCTTTATTTTTCCCTTTCTTGTTCACAGTTGAATAAGCATTCTGATCGCTTTTCAATAAATACTCTATGAACCAAACAAACATTGTACAGGATGATGTGGACTAAAGCAATGGAAAAAGTTTTGCAACCAAAATTAACTTTGTTTTGGCATTTCATAAAACAAAGGGACAGAAATTGTATTCCAATATAGTGTTTTTCTCCAGTAGATGTTATTGATGGCTTTTTTCCTCCATAGTATGTTTTCCTTCCATGGCTATTATTGTTTATATCACTGTAATTTAACATAAAAATTGCAGAGATACAGCAGATTCAAATATGTATTTCAGAAAATAATTGTGAAGGAAAGAAAAAGAGCAGCAAGGAGAAAACATGGTGCTGCTTTTCTCTGTTATAAGCCTTTCTATGCTATGACTTTTAAAACTATTGCATATATTATTTTGATAAAATAAAATTTACTTTGCATATATCTACTTGTTACATGTGTATAAGAAAATAACTGCAAGGATAGTCATCATTCTATTAGTAATAGCCACCCTGAGCACCAGAGAATTCATGTTTTCAAACTGTGGTGTTGGAGAAGACTCTTGAGAGTCCCTTGGACTGCAGGAGATCAAACCAGTCAATCCTAAAGGAAATCAACCCTGAATACTCATTGGAAGGACTTAGGCTGAAGCTCCAATATTTTGGTCACCTGATGCCAAGAGCCTACTCATTAGAAAACACCCTGATGCTGGGAAAGAGTGAAGGCAGGAGAAGGGTATGACAGAGGATGAGATGGTTGGATGCATCACTGACTCAATGGACATGAGTTTGAGCAAACTTTGGGAGATGGTGAAGGACAGGAAAACCTCAAAAGTTGCATCCATAGGGTCACAAAGAGTTGGACACAACTGAGCAACTGAACAACAGCTATTAGGGAGAGGAAGTTTGGGGTGGGGGTAAAGAAGAGAGAACATACTTTTTTAAACTTCACAAAAGGTATAAAATTGATAATCAGCATATATTCCTTCAAAGTAGAACAAAATTGAAAAATATTATATATGATGGAAACCTGGTTTAACACATAATGAACATATTTCAAAGCAACAGGCATACTTCTATGGCATCAATTTTCACAGTTTATGGTATCTCATTGCATAGATGTCCCATAATTTAATAATTAATAGCAACAAATCACTATCCCTCAACCAATCCTGGAAAGTTCTAATTTCCTAATGTGTTAAACTGGGATAGTAATAGGGTCCATATCATAGTATTGTTGTGAGAATTAAATAAGTTAATGTGCGTGAAGCTCTTAAAACAGTGCCTGACCCACGGTAAGCATGATTATATGTCTTATCATTCCTACAATAATTTTAGTCCCTTCCTTCCTACAATAATTCTACTTCTTGTTATCTCATGCTATTATTATTTGCTCAATGCCTTAACATAGTTCTGCCTACCAATACCAAATTTTCCTGAGGCACACTTTCCTGTAAAAAGGTCTTCAAAGGTTCATTCACCTATAGAATAAAGAACAAATTATTTTGTTTGACTAACTTAGGATTCCAGGTTCATTTTTCTGCCACTCCTCTTTCCCTTCTGCCAAACCAAACTACTTTCCCCACACACACATTCAAT